ACCTACAGGCCGAGCGAGATCGTGCACCGTGCAGCAGGCCAATGCATTTACCATCACACGTGCGCGTTGCACCGGCACACCACGTCCTACGTGCTGTTGTTGCTGCTACTGCCGCCGCTGCCTGGTTCTCGCACGCACGATATCCGGCCGGCTAATGCGTTCGTGCGCTACATATTTATGCCCCGAGATGGCTGATAGAACGGGCTACTGGCCGGCGATTGCTCCTCCGGTGGGCCCTGCAGCCTCCCAGCCTTCCCCTTTGATCCTAATCGTTCCCATTGTGTCCGGAAAGTCGGGCGCAGAGTGCTGGAACGCCACGCGATTAGAATTTCCAGCCGCGAGGTGAGAATTGCCCGCCGTGTTTCCCTATCGAGAATTGACACGAGATGGATGTCGGATTAGAGACGTCACGAGGGTGGATTGCACGAGCGGTTGATTGATTTTCTTCGAGGGCGAACAGGGACACAAACAAAATTCTGTGAAAGGGTGTGTCATCGAGCAATTATTCGTTAAAACTGCTCGTTATAGGGAAAAGCTTGCCTTGCTTCTTTTTCAATTTATTTCATTGACGTTGGTATTTCAAGGTTATTCAAGTTCGTTCACTGCCTTTCGAAAGTTACCTGCGTACCAGGAAATTATTGTATTATTTTTTAGTATTCGAAACGGTGACTTTTCGTATATTCTATCTCTGAACGATAGTTAGGAAAGCATCCTCTACAATGTTTCAGGGTATTTCGCGTTTGTTAGATTAAATAGTAAATTCGTCAAGGGACGGGCTACGTGTCCATCCGAGTTCGTAGTTTTATTTGAAAAGAAAAAGACAAAGGTCAGCTTGAAATCTCGAAAGCACCTTCAAGATTTGTGATCATCGAAAGATATATACGAAACAACGTGAATTTTGTTTGAAATATCTTTTCCGTATGCTGTTTCTTACATTTGCATAGTTTCCAGCTTCAGCACATTCTTCAATTTCATAGTGTTTCTAGCGTTTCTAGCAATCTCATCAGTCGTAGCTTTCGCAAGAGTTACAAATTCATGGCGTCCTAACTGCCTATACATGTCGAATATAAACTTGTTAAAAATGATATAAACTCGGACAAAGCACTCGGAGAGGAGAGGAGAGGAGGATGTATTATCCGGAGAAACGCGATCGGAGTTGTTCAAACGGCGTTGCAACAGCAGGATCAGAGCCCGCAGGTGGGACGCAGGCAGGCACGATTCGTGCAATTTGAATGGCGCGTGGGTGGAGAACCAGTTAATTTCACGCCGCTCTCTCTCTCTCTCTCTCTCTCTCTCTCTTTTCGGCCGAGAAGAACATCAAAATACACAGACAGACGTATAAATATCCACGTGCACACACGAGTAAGCAACGCACGAATGAAGGTACGCGAGAGCGCAGCTCTCGTCTCGTCGCCGCTTCTTATGCAAATCAGGCGGAAAAACTCGCGTGTTTTCAACGTGTTTTAATTATTCAAGCGACAACTTTCCGCAATGAAATTAGAACTGGCGCAGCGGTGACTGCCGGCGACAAGTGTTTTGCTTATGGCCGCCGCCCAGCCGGCGTAAAACGACCAGCCAACGCCGGGGCTAGGAGGTGTATCTAAATCCGCGGCAAGAAACACCGCGAGGGGGAAAACTAAGAAGAGCCCCGGCGGAAGAGGGTGGAGTAAAAGGAGCGGGAGAGGGTGGAGAAGGGTGGCTCCTCGGGGACGGAAGAAAATTAAGAGAGTAAGGAAAGCCCGGGACGTTATCCCCCCGGCGGGTATGGAGCTCAGCTCGCCGGGAACCATGTCAAAGCGGCTGTCTGCTGCTCGAAACTTTGAAACAAAACGACGCCGCTCGCGGAATCTAGGTTGACGCGCCACCACCGCGTCCTCCCTGCGGGTCTGCACCTCCAAGGAGATTCTTTAGCGCGGTGAAAATTGTACGCCGCGCGGATATTCGCGCTGTCGCCGACAAACTCCATACTTGTCCGGATCCGTGTCGTTCTAAAAAGTTGCGCCGGAGCGCGCTTGCTTAAAAACAACTTCGTTAGAACTGAACTCCCAGCGCTTAGCTCCGAGCGTTCGGCAGCCATGTTTCTCCCCGCGTCTCGTGGCAAGGAACTTTCGCGAATGTTCATGCCTGGTCTAAGCATCGTTTGGATCTCGTCGAAAATTCGAAATCGATCCGTCCCGAGGTCTACGTAGGATTTTAAACAAAACACGCGGAAAGTTTGACGATTTAATCGTAATAGTAGTTGGATAAATTCACGAGAGTGAACACTTTCTACAAGTGTTGGCAACATTTTCGCCCACGTAAGTCCGTGCATCTTCAATCCGTGCATGTCCGACGGCCAATAATCGCGGCGATCACGTAAGTAGAATCGGTCGATGCACGCTCGAGGGATTTCGTAGCAGCCGTACGCCGCGTAGGTAACGGAGGAGAAGCGGGCAAATATAGCGAGCGACGTGACGGCGCGAGAAGGGTGTACGGTCGCCGGTTATTCGGTAGTAACAATAGCAGTCGTGCCAGCCGGAGCATACAGGCCGTTTGTATGAATGAAATTATTCGCTTCTAGGAATATATAACCGGGCGAACGAGGCGAAGAAGCCGGGCGGAAAGGGAAAGAGAGAGGCCTCGGCTCGCGAGAGCCTCGGTTATACGGCTGTTGATTGCACGGCGGCAGCTGTGTTTTATGCGCTCCTCGAGTCGCGGCTCTCTCTCTCTCTCTCTCTCTCTCT